AAGCAGTTCATAAACCCTTGTTTATCATATGCCATGTCCCAAGGGCACCATTAATATATAAAATAGACCTATAAAAGCCAGTTGATTGTTTTTAGCTTACAATAATCTTTATTTTTATTTACTCTTGCTCACATACCTCTTTCTGTTTCTGTTCATTTTCTTTGCATATCTGTACTCATCTAAAACTTGAAGTGTAGTCACACTGGTTTATAAGTATCTTCCTCACCTGGCTCATTTGTCATTTTATAATTGAAAGCTTTTCTTCAAGGGCCTCCTGTCCTTTTTTGGGGACTCCAACTATAGGATCATATTTGTCTTTTCTTTTCCTTTTTGGAATCTGCTTTCCTAAAGAACAAATCAATTTTTCTTCTGGTGAAAATTAAGTTTACAACTTTACTTTTTTCCTGGTTATTTTCCATGAAATTGTCAGCAAGATAAGGCAGCATTTTGTCACATGATCAGGTTTTAGCAGAAGATTTTTGGCAGATGTCTATGGTTGATGTCTCCATTTGGATCTTATTTTTCTTTTGTCTCAGTTTTGTGCCATTATACTTATTTAATCTGGTCTGACAATTATATGTGAACACTCTGAAACAAGCAAATAACAATAACAATGTTCAACATATATATTAATCTTATCTATCCATTCATCCATCCATCTATCTTTATCCTCATGCATGTAACTTTCAGTGCTCAATAGTATGAAAAGGAGAGATATCCTGGAATTATACTTTCTCCTTCAAATTTATGATTTCCACACTGGTATATAATTTCTCTAATCCTCAGTTTCTTAAGCTGCAAAATGTTTGGACTAGGGGATATGATCCTTTCAGCCATCGAATTGCACATGTTTTTCACTCCCTTTCCTTTCTCTGTTGTCCATTTCATTTGGACAAAGCATATACTGACTCCCACTCAAATCAGGTTATTCTCTTTCTGATAAAGAGAAATATCAGAAAGAGGATCTTTCTGATTATTGATTGTGAATTACTGGTACTTCCAAAATTACTGGAACATACACCCTTCTTTTGAAGAACACCTGACAGGATTAGCATTCATCTTTAATGATAAAAGATGTTATAAGTACCTCAGCATATCCTTGCATACACAAATCACTTTTACATGAGTCTTGGTTAGGGCATGGAATCTTCTTTATAAAATGGTGTTCCCAGTCACTGCCAGAAGTCCATTATTCCAGTCATGTTAGCCATGATTAAGAAAATGAAAGCACATTTCATGAATATAATTTATATAAGCAACTATTCACTTTCTATGTCCTTTTTTCTTTTCCAAAGTTAACATTCAGAAAGAATTAAAACCAGTGATAGTCTCCCAAATCCTTCAAGTTTTCTAGGCACAATTTCGAAGTCACCAGAGATATATACTAGGTTTCTTTCAGGTATTATCCATTTATTCATTCCTTTGTCATTTAGCAAAAATGATTATCACTGGGCAAACTGTCAGATCTCAGGTACCTACTCTAGAAATTGCAATGACCAACTCCGTGGAATTTTCAGCTTGCTATGGGAAGCTCCAGTGGTTATAAGATTTTTTTTTATTCTGGTTCACTCTCATACTCAGTAATTATTTCAGGTTCTTCAAAGTAATTTTAATTCTTCAGGCTTCTCAAGAATTCCTTTCTCTGCTTCCTTCTTAAATTATTTTCAGTGCCCTACAAGAATCATTCATACTATTGATAAATCGCAGTATAAGAAGGAGTTACTCACATAGGTTTTTTTCTAAGGACATTTAAGTTTTTGTAAGTCTCATATAACTGATGAATGCCTTAAGCCCTCTCACTCTAGAGTTCTCATCTAATCTCACTTTGAAATGCGTTCTCTACACTGATGATTTCCAAATGTATTTCTGGTCCTCTTCTCTTTCTTGAATGCTGGACTCAAATGTCCAGCTCGAGATGTTATTTCTACCTGAATGCCTAGAGTCATATCAAACTCAACATGGTCAAAGCAGAAATCTTTTTTCTCCCTAAACCTGCTTCCTCCCTGCCTCTGTCTCAATTATCAGCACCACCATCAGGCCAATTGTTCAGAAACTTAGGAGTCTTTCATGACACCCCTATTCTTTCATTTCTTGTAAATCTCTGATTTATCAGCAAGACTTTTAGTTATTCCATAAACTAAAATGCATTGTTCCATTTTTTACCATCTCTACTACTGCCATAGTAGTCCAACCCATGTCTCTAGACTGGACAACAGCAAGTCTCTGACCTACTGTCCTTGTTTTTACTCTTTTCTCTTATAATTTACACAGCAGCCAGAGAGTGATCTTTAAAAGATGCCAATTAAAGCTATTGCCCCCTGGTTTAAAACCTTCCAATGGTTTGGCAGTGCACTGAGATAAAACAAAAAGTCTTTACCATGGCTTTCAAGACCTTTGGTGTCCTGGCTTCTGTCAGATCTCTGATTTTATTTCATGCATTTGACCCTCTTTTCTTGTGCTTTGAAAATGCCAAGTACATTTCTCTGTTAGGGTCTTTGCACTACCTGTTACCTATGCCTAGAATGTTATTCCCCCAGATCTTAAGGCTGGCCCATTTCTGTCATCCAGGCTTTGGCTCAAATGTAAACTTCTCAGTGAAATCTTCTCTCATCCCCAGTTCAAAGTAGCACCCTTTGTTAACTCCTTCCCCACAAGTCACTCTCTTTACCATTGCATTTTTAAAATCCACTGTAATTATGAATATAGAGATAATCTTATTTATTGTTTTGTTTCCCACCCTACCCCACCCCCTTTTCAGTGTGATCTGTTAGGGTAAGGACTTTGTCCTCACAACTGCACAACTAGTGCTAGGACAGTGCCTGGAACAGAGAAGTCCTTAACATATAGTTGTGATACCTATAAAACACGAACATCTCCAGCTCTCCTGAATTTCAAGTGAAATTAGCTTTCTGTAAGTCTCTTGTAAGGTGACCAGCAAATGTCTTTTTCTGGAAATAGGAAATTGTAGAATGTTGAGTTTATTCCAATTTTGAAAGAAAATGAAATATATTTTCTGACAGTTAAAAGAAAAAAAACCTCCTAGGTAATTCAGCGGGGCATTTCATCAAGAAAAACTCCACCATTCTCCTAGCTTAGCTGAATCTGTCCACCTCACAAATATCTAAGCAGGGAGAACATCGACACCTATGTATACCTTATCAAGTCATTAAATCCAGAGAGTAAATTCAAATCTCTTCCAAAGCGGTGACACAATGTAGTTTTGGAGCCTTGTAGTGTCAGGCTCCACTACTGATCCTGGGTACGTGGCTCAAAGGAAACTACCTTGCAATTTTCTGGGCCAGAACCAAAGTCAAGGCAACAACAACAACAACAAACAACGCAAAGCCAACAAGACAAAACAAAAGAAAATATAACCGACTATTGACGATGAAGGAAAACATACACAACAGTTCGTCTGTTTAGGTATGTTTGTGTGTGTGCTTGTGCAGGGTAAGGGGAGGGACTGCGGAAGTGAAGTGAGAGGCAGAACTGGCTACATAGCCTGCTTGGCCTATTGTAAAACGAAAACGTGAGGATCTTTGTTCAAAAATTATTAAGAATTCCAAAGCAGTGACAGCACATTATTGTTGCAGAGCATTAAACTGAACAAGGCCCTTCTGAGTGCGGGACTCCGTGCAACTGGACAGTCACACACCCTTGAAACCTGCCCTGGTGGGAGGGGAGGATTGGAATTCTTCTCCAAGGACTGGGAAGCAACCACAGCCTCCCCCCCCGCCCCCAACAACAATAGCAAAAAGAAATAACTATCAACATTAGAGCAGGTTGTGCCCACTCTTGATGGTGGTGCTTGTGGTGGCGGTGGAGGTGGGAGCAGCACTCTTGTAAAGCAGACTTTAGATTGATAGAGGAGGTAAGAAAACAGTTTCTGAGGCTCCAAAGTAGAAGCTCCAGGGGCAAAAAGAATAAGGTGAAAGGAAAGAGGCCGAATCAGCCTTTCCTTTTGCCCTTGTGCAGATAATGCCTTTTCTTTCAAAAGAGCGCATCTCCTGAATTCAACTACTGTATGTATCCGGTGCTTTAGGAGCTGTGGTGAGATAGGTAGGGTTGGTTATAAGGGTGTGTCAGACAGACAAAAAAAGGGTAGAGACAGGTTTAAATGCATTTTTTTGTGGACTGGCTTCTGACCCTCTTTGGTAACAAACCAGAGGGAGCTTGGATATTGATGGGTTCCGGACAACCGCTATTTTATCCTCCCTTGACGTTTGGAAGGTAAGACCCAAGGGGAACCGCTGTGAGCCACATTCTTGGGTTCATCAAAAGTCACCCCACTTGTAGAAGTGCGTAGTCCTGGAGCATGTGGAAGAGGTGGAGGGGCCGGGGACCAGGAAGCTCGCGGCCCGGGAAGCCAGTCGGAGGAGGTGCGTCCAGTGCCCTCCGTCCGCAGTCGGGGCAGCGGGTCCAGCGGGCGGCCCCGCGGGGAGGAACAGACAGGCCTGCCGAGGAGGCTCTGGGTCCCGCACTCGGTCCTATCCCGGCTCGAGGAGACTCGGGCCCCCGGAACCGCGGGGAGAGGGGGCGGCGACCGGGCACCCTGTGGCCACTGCGGCCGCGGCTGCAGCGGCTCCGGCGCCCGCCGGGTGGTGACTCTGCAGTGCCCGCCCCCTGTTCCCCTTCCCCGCCCCTCGCGCCCCCTTCCCCGCCTCCCGCCCGGCGCCCGGCCGCGCTGACCCGCTGTCCCGTCCCTCTGAGAGCGCCGCGGCGGCAGCTCCTCGGCGGCGGCGCCTCCTCTGCGTGGCGGCCGCTCTCGCAGCGGCTGAGTCCTCCCGCCTCGGCCATTTTCCCTCCCCCCTCCCCTCGCGTTCCTCATCCCCTCGCCCTTCCCCCGCGCGGGGACTTTTCCGGAAAGTTTTTATTTTCCGTCTCGGCTCTCGGAGAAAGAAGCTCCCGGTTCGGCGGCCGCAAAACTTTTCGGCTGCTTCGCCGCCGGCCCCCGCCCTCGGCTGCCCGGCCCCGCGGCCCTCGGCGCGCCCCGCCGAGCGATGAGCGCCCCGCCGGTCCTGCGGCCGCCCAGCCCGCTGCTGCCCGTGGCGGCGGCTGCGGCGGCAGCTGCCGCCGCGCTGGTCCCGGGGTCGGGGCCCGGGCCCACGCCGTTCCTGGCTCCCGTCCCGGCCCCGGCCGGGGGCATCTCGTTCCATCTGCAGATCGGCCTGAGCCGCGAGCCCGTGCTGCTGCTGCAGGACTCGTCCGGGGACTACAGCCTGGCGCATGTCCGCGAGATGGCTTGCTCCATCGTCGACCAGAAGGTAAGGCGCCGCGCGGCTGCCCGCCCGGCGCCTCCTGGCCGCGCAGGGGGCGCTGCCCGCCCGGCCAGCCCTCGCCGCGCCAACTTTCCGGCTCCCCGGGCTCGGCCGGGACCCAGCCGCGCCGGCCCTCTGGAAGGGTCTGGCAGCGGCGGGGACTGGACACTGGCACCTCGCAGCACCGCACTCGCTGTGGCTCAGTACTCCCCTCGCCCCCTATTGTAGTCAGCGGTTCCTCTCCAGTCTGCATGCACTTCACCCATTTCCATCCTTCTCATGGCATTTCGAGGTATCTTGCCTGTTTCTCGTCGCGCCCCTCCTTATCCTTGAGACTTCCCGGCTTTCCCCTGTCCTCCCTCCGGCCCCTGGACCGGCTCATTCCTGGCGCCGGAATCCTCCTTCCTGCAGCAGAGTTTCCCCCGGGACACGCTCAGCACGATTTCAGCACCACTCCCTTCCCCTCCAGACCCCTCTCCCAGCGCAGGTTGTTGTGAAGTTCCTGGAATGACCTGGAGATGAGGAATTTCTCACCTGTCAAATACGCTTTTAGGAGAGGGTGATTGACTCGGCCAGCTGTGAAAACAACTGACCAGGCCACAACTACTCAAGTCCGTGCTGTCCTTTAGTCCCATCTCTATATGAGCGTGGAAACAAATTTTCCGACGATAAAACCTGAAAGTTGCAGCCTTCCTGTTTTTCATTACCGGGACACTGATAATGGGACACTGAAGTGGTGGGGGTGATGTCCAGAAACATTCCGAGGCTTGGTGTGCCCTTAAGTTTGAGGCTGTGGGACTCTGGACAGCGGCCACCAAAGGCAGGTTGGAAAAGGGGCCGTTATTCTGGGCCAAGCTACCCGGGGAGGAGATTCAGCCCACCCACCACAGTCTACAGTGCAATTTTGATTTTCAGGTTGTCTCAGCCATCCAGAGGGATGTTGCATGGAAGCGGACAATGGGGTGTAAGGGAGCGGGCCATGGCGCCTGTCTTCTTAGTATAAACAGCCAAGGGTTTGGGGTGGAGACAGGGGTCTCTAAAGGTGCTGAATGTCAGCCCTGGGGGACTGGCTAGTACTCAATACTCGCCTTGCCTTATAATGGTCACTTGAATAATCATGAATTGCATTGCGTTCTTTAAACAATTCCTAACGGAGTTCGCTAAACCTCGAGGGTTGTGAATTGTGGCACTGAGCACAGGGATATTAAGAAAAAGCCCCAGGGAAAAATCACTAATCTGGGAAGTTGTAAAAGTTCTAGACTAAAGTAACAATGAGTGCCAGAAATTTTTGTTTATTGAAAGGAGTGACATTTTCTATTACCAGTAGCTCTCAATTGTTTGCAACTTCCATGAAAATAACAAATTTTGTCTAATGCCAATATAAGTCATACCATGCCCCTCCTCCACATCCATATTATGGAATTACTATTGTGGGTGGACAGAAGCACTCTTCTGGCACTGAAAGCCTTGCAGTGATGGAGACTGTAGTTTACAACAATCTCCATTAGGATGCAAACCAGTCAATTAACAAGAAATGTTGCATAAGCATATGCAGAAGGTAAAATAAAATTTCTCAAAAAGCTAATGCTATTCTATAGAATTTTAACTTACCTAAATTCTAAAACAAGTGATGCAATGACAGAGAATATTCAAATTGGGTCAAATTAATATGGACAGACTTTGTTTTGACCAGCTTTAACACACACACACACACACACACACACACACCCTCACCCTCCCTGATATAAGTTAGGATGGGGAGAAGCATGTATGGTTCAAGAGATTTGGGATTGGGGTATTGAATGGAGACTGAATTCTAGTTGTCTCAGAAGCTACCAAGAGGGGTGTTATGTGGAGAGTGACGTGAGCGCAGAGGGGCAGGGACAAGAAGCATCTGTGGAACACAGCAGGCCTGAGGGTAGAGACTAGGATATTTAAGGAAAGTACAATTATGAAAAGGCCTTGAAATTAAAATAAACTCAAATTACTAGAAGCTTCAGTAATCTTTTCGTAGAGATATCATACCAAGGACATCGAAAGATGGATTTACTGTGTGAAGGATGTTTTAGAATGCCAAAAAATGTTATGGCAGAAAGAACACTGGAGTTCAGTCATGAGCTCCTTAGAACCTGAGCCAAGATTCTGGGGGAGAGACCTGGAGAAATACTGGAAAGGGAAAACCATCAGCCCTGGTGACTGATTTATAAAGACAGTCCTTCTCTTCTGTATTTATTCTAGTAGTTCTTCTGTCTCTCAAAGAAAAGTTTGAAAAGTTTCTGTTTGAAATAGTCATAGGGTAATGGTCTTGCTTACTTTTTTTTTTTTAAGATTATAACAAAGATGGGGTTAGATTTAGAGATGAGAATCGGAGAATTATATATGTGTAGAATACTGTAAATAAATAGATAGTAGATAGTGAATCTAGACAGAGGACCTTTTATTTCTATCATTTTATCTTCCATAATCCATTTCAGAGTACGTTAATACCCCAGGCAGAAACAAGATTAAGAGGGCTGAAGGTCCGTCATTGGGTAATAGGGATCTCTTTGCTTTGTGGAGTAGGTATGGCATAGAGTGTCAGTATGGAGTTAAGGAAGTGGGAGGAGATTCTTTTGTCCTTCATTTCAGATTTTCTTGAAGTACCGACATCAACTATGAGGGAGGATGGCAGGGGTGGGAGTGGGGGATGGATGTTTCCGGAGAGGGCTGAGAATTTGAAATCATTTACAGTTTACTATGTATGCTGGAGATGTGCATGTGGAGTTTACAGCGGGAGGTTCTCCTGATTTTCTGAGTCCTCCATAGTTATTGTTTTAAAATGTGTTAAGGGGTTTTTCATCTACGTTGTTCAAGAGCTCCTTAAATACTAACACAAATCGTGCTGGCTTAAATCTTTAGAAATATTAGCTGACAAGTTCAGTTAATTTCAGCAACATTCATGGGACATTTTCTGTGGGGTGAGCAACAGAGGTGTATAGGGCTGAATTAAGAAAAATGCTATCCTTGAGAAATGCTTCTTTAAATCATTATCATTATCATTTAGAATTTAGAATATAGTTTTTCTTTAATTATACAGCTTTAAAAAGTAGTGGAGATGTGATTATACTTAAAAATTTGGTAAGTCAACAAAAATACTTTTAAGATAATGTACCCTAAATGTTAATGAATCATATAACTAAAGAATTATTTCTTCCATCTTTTAGTTTAGATCTTGCTTTTTTTGTGACAATGTATGAATATAGGAGATATTATTAGTTCCATTTTTTGAAGTATTGGTCTAAGATTTATATTTATTTACTTTGCAAGCATGTAACACTGAAGGCTGGTTATATATAAATACATATGTTCTGTTAGTGTACGTGATTATTGTTTTCTGGAGGGTAAAAAGATAATAATAATTGACTTCACTTTGAAACACTGTTACTTTATACTATCAAAGGAACCTTGAATATGTAGACTGAGAAGGAATTCCAAAGGAAGAATTAGTTTGGTTTTATAGTACATTATCTGTCTATTAACATACACACACACACACACTCCACACACATATACACTTTTTTTAAATAAGCAGTATTAATTTAGGGATGTGTAATGCAATTAATACGGCTATCTGTCTATTCATTCTTTGCTGTTATCTTATTGGAAAGACAGCTAATATTTTACTATTGAATTTACTTAATTGGAGTAGAGCATCTGTAGACTCCTGGCATATAATTTCACTTTGCACAATCATCTTTCTGGCCAAAGAAATTGAAGAGTGAGACATTATGTAGAAGATAGCTCCCTAAAGGAGTAACAAAGGTTAGTGCCTTGGTTTGAAAGTAGCATTACTTTGCTTGTATTTGTTTCACTGTCTTATTATACATTGTTTTCTTAACAGTAGTGGTGTCATTTTCCTTTTAATTGTTAATTTTAGCTCCTCTACTTCTGTATAGATTGAGAAAGCTGGAAATAATTAGCTGCTCCGGAACAACAAACTGCTTTAAGCTAATGATGGTCTTTGGGTCTTAGGTGTGTATTTTTTATGCTAGTTTTATATTTGGCCATCTTTGTGTGTCTACTGATTTCTGATTTTATGATGAAGTACAGGATTTGTCATTTCATTATGTGATTTTTAAGTAATGTAATTTTAATAGTGTATTTTTAAAATTGAAAGTTCCTTTCAAGTTTAATAGTATAATAGCATTATATTTTGGAGTTAAATACTATATACACATATATGTACTATACGTGTAACATATATATATATGTAATATATTATCTGTGTCTAAGTGTTTTTTTAAATGTATTTTTAAGAGCCTCATTGTCCACATATAGCCTCTAGATGCTGAAGTATTGGTTTATATTTTGTACTGCAGTCTGTGAAAAGTGTGGCCTCATTATGTATTTCACAATCCAAAAGAGAAACTCTGCTTTATATTTTTCTGTCAATGCACAGATTTGCAAGCCTATTCTTATAGGTATATATTACTTAATAGTTTTCACAAGAATGTCCTTTGACATTATGAAGTTAAAGGCATTAAGCCTTACAATCCTTGGGCTGGGAAGAGTTGGATGATTGGATGTTTTGACAAATACATGAATTAATTTGGGGTTTTAGATTCAGAATTGAGATAAATTTGAAAGAATAAAAGTGTAGCATGTATGGTGGTGGTGGTAGTGAGGACTGGAACATTATTAATCAAGTTTAAAAACTTGTCCCATAAGACCATACTTGATGACTGTGCTGTTCAATTTTACCAGACTCCTGTCATAACTATTAAGGGAGATTTATAATTTGATTTTGCCAATTATTATTATTATTATTTTTGCGAGATGATTTTATATAGGTCTTCACCTATAATTTATGCATGAATGGCTGTTAATTACTAGAGAATACAAAAAAATTTATAAGTCTATGAATGTATGGTTGTGACTAATTTAAGATTACTTAAGAATAATATATGTGAAGTACTAAAGATACCATCTGGTAAAGATGTACATACTAAATGATATTATTGATCATC